AACAGCAGGGCAGGTCCCGAAAATAAACAGTAAATAAATGGAGAAGCTAAACAACACAGTTAAACCATTTTTGAAGTGAACACAGCAATATAAACTTAAAGTATATGGACTTTGATTTGATCATCAGCCAGACATTGAGAGCAACAGACAGAGTTTTATGTCACGGGGGGAGTGCCGAGCTCGCTCGAGGCGCTAGAGACGCATGCGCTAGCTATATGCCTGCCTGCCTTCCGTAACGTGATGTGACTACAGTTGAAAAAAAGAGCGCACAAAACACTTAATTTGGCCTAAAATACAGACATTCTGACAAATAAGTAACTGTTTGTAATCTTACCTCAGCTTAGAAGGCAGAGGGTGTCRGTCTTTTCTGCTCAGATTCAGCTATCGGAGCATGAAGCTAATGTTTACTCCCAATGCTAATGCTACCCTTGCTCTCTGGCACTCGAGGTATAGTAGCCAAATGGCTGGGTCACTGCTGCCAACTAGCGGTCAGAGGCTGAACTACAACATAAAAATGAACGGCTGGCAGGAAAGTTGACATTTTAAACCTTAATAAAAAGTCGATACAGGGCTTTACAATGTCGATACAGTATCAGGAAATGAAATATCACAATATTTCAGTGTATCGATATTTTCTTACATCCCTATTGTTAAAGTTTGATCTGTTCTGGATAAATGCTGATGCTGAGTTTGATGTTAAGTAGCTCAGTTTAATCTCATTTTTCTTTATAAAGCTGACTTGTCTATTCTATTTTTACCTAAAATATTGATTCTTTGAAATGGAACCAATTAAATTGGGGATAAAAGACCTAGATGTGTGATTAGAAAAATKATTATTCTCTGTGATGAAGTCACACATTTGGCTCGTGACATTGTTCCTTAAAAATCACAACATCTGATGGAAGATTGGGTTTTACTATCAAGACATTTTAATTTTTATTACTATATACAGTAGAATGTCTGCAATACACTGTTGCTAAAGCACAATACATTACTAACACAGATGCTTTATTTAGTTAGTTGTTTTTCCCAGATTAATTAAAAAGGGAATGTGTTTTCTCAAAGGTGCAGAAGCAGAGAGTCAAGGTAGCGCTCCAAGTCCTGCTCCCCAGCACGGAGGGAGAAATCACCAAGTTCCCAGAGGAAACAAGTCACGACACAGGACGAGCTCAAATCTGCACCCCTCCTCCTCCTCATTAGCATCCAGCACTGATGAGCAAGGATCATCAGGAGTAAAGAAAATGGGTTAGACAATTTCACCTTTTTTTTTTCCATGGCGTATGTAGTTTACTGCAAGTATTTAATAGGTAGTTTACACTTCCAGTCCCTGCCCAGGCACAGGTAACTTGAGACAAAATTTGTCATAGAAGGAACTCACAGATTTGGCTTTTAAGTAAATGCACACACACACACCCAGTGCACTGCAGGGAAAAAGACTCRCCTTTAGTAAACTCTAGCATGTCCTCTTCAGCTCCCAACATTGACCGCTCTGTGAAGGACCTGCAGAGATGCACTGCATCCCTGACTCGCTACAGGGTGGTGGTCAAGGACGAGATGGACTCTTCCATCAAGAGGATGAAGCAAACATTTGCTGAGCTCCAGAGCTGGTATGTCTTGTTTTTTGTAAAAACTGTTTGCAGTCATTGTGAAAAATTAATGCGTAGATCATTATAGGGCTGCCACGATTAATCGATTAATCGACGACTAATCAATTTTTAAAATAATCGATGGCCAATTTAATAATCGATTAATCGTTTTCTTTTTTTGTTTTTTGGTTGTTCTTTAC